AAACTATTAAAAATGTAATTACAGTGTCAGTCGCACAGCTGTGGACTCCTGGAATATCTGCAATACCGCTGAAAGTCTCTGTGGGTAGCTGGAAATAAGCAGCAGCGGAGTTCTGAGAAAATAATATTTAAATGTCTACCTTGAGCAAAGTGGATAAAAATCAACTATTAAATCAATGTTTAACTGTGATGGACAGGAAGAAAAATTGTGATTTTTTTTTCTTGTAGACAGATCTTAAACAGCAAGAGTTTGAACTGTTATGACAGTAAAAGTGTATTCATCAAAACGATTCAGTTAGCTTCATTTTCATCTCTATTAAATTGGAAACTTTTAAAAAAGAGAGATTAAATGTAACCAAATGTTTGATTCAATGTTTGAATAAAATATTCTGTTGCTCCTGAACTAGTGCAGTTACAAAACAGGGAAACATAATGTAACAAATTGCATGTAAACAGCTCCTTTCGCGTTGGGAGGACGTCCCAAGGTGCTGAACAGTCAAGGGTTTGCACCCGAGCTGGGAGTTAGAGTCAAGAGGGGAGACGATGGGAGGATGGACGAAGACGCAGTCGAAGAGGAAGATATTGAGACAGGCCTTGAAGCAGGCAAGGGAGAGGGCAAGGAGGAGGGACTCTGAGATGGAGTTCCTGAGGGTGAGGGCAGAGAAGCTAAAGATCCAACCTCCAATGGTGGAGTGGACAGGGCGTCGGACATGGAGCAGGCCAGTACCTGCAGTATCTACATTTGGGAGGGTTTTCGGAGGTCACAGAGGTAGGGCAGTGCAAGATCACGTAGGGCTTTAAAGGTGAGGGCAAGGATTTTGAACAGGTTCCTCTGGGGTATGAGGAGGCAGCGAAACTGGATGATTGGCTCACGGAGCTTTGTGGGGGAGAGGACACAACAAGAACAACAAATTTACATTTATAGAGCGCCTTTCACACTGGGAGGACGTCCCAAGGTGCTGAACAGTCAGATGTTGGAGCCCGAGCATGGGGGAGGGGTGGTTTAGGGGTGAGGGAAGGCAGAGAGGTGGGAGGAAGACCAAAGACACGGTCGAAGAGAAGGGTCTTGAGACCGGCCTTGAAGGAGGCAAGGGAGGAAACAAGGTGAAGGGACTATGGGATGGAGTTCCAGAGTGTGGGGGCAGAGAGGCTGAAAGCCCGGCCACCGATGGTAGGGCGGGTCGGGGGGAGACATGGAGCAGGCCGGAGCCCGCTGAATGGAGGGAGTGGGCAGGTTGGTAGGGAGCCATCAGGTCAGAGAGGTAGGAGGGGGCAAGGCCATGGATGGCCTTAAAAGTGAGGATGAGGATTTTGAACTCGATCCACTGGGGAATAGGGAGCCAGTGGAGTCGGGCGAGGGTGGGAGTCATGGGGTCACGGAGCCTGGTGCGTGAGAGTACACGAGCTGCAGAGTTTTGGATGATCTGCAGCTTGTGAAGGGAAGAGTTGGGAAGGCCGATGAGGAGTGAGTTCCTGTAGTCAAGCCTTGATGTGACGAATGCGTGGGTGAGGGTTTCGGCAGCCTGAGGGGTGAGGCAGTGATCGAACTGCTCTGGTCAAGGTCACAAGCGACATCCTGACCATGTGTGACCAGGGCTCCCTCTGCCTTCTCGTCCTCCTCGACCTCTCCGCCACGTTTGACACCATGGACCACTCGATCCTTCTCCACCGCCTCTCCTCCCACCTCAACCTTCAAGGTTCTGTCCTTGACTGGCTCAGGTCCTACCTTTCACACCGCCTCCACTTTGTTGCGGAAAACGGCTTCTCCTCCAGCCCCCGCACTGTCTCATGCGGTGTTCCTCAGGGCTCTGTCCTTGGTCCCCTCCTCTTCATCCTCTACATGCTCCCCCTTGGTGACATCATTTCCACATTTTAAAATACATGTGGTAAATTTCCACATGTTTGCGGATGACACCTCAGGCGCTGGCAGCATCAGCCTCCACAGCTGCACACTCAACCTTACTAAGACAGTCAGGAACCCGGATGTCTTTTTTGACTCTGAACTGTCCTTTCTCCCCCACATCTGCGCCATGACGGCACTGCTTACCACCACCTCCGCAACATTGCCAGACTGAATAATTTGAGATTCTGAATAATCTGCAACTTGTGGAGAGAAGAGATGGGAAGACCGGCAAGTTGGCAATAGTCAAGCCTGGAAGTTACAACAGCGTGGATGACGATTTTGGCAGTCTGAGGGGAGAGAAAGTGGCAGAGGTGGGGGAAGCCAGAACAGGCCATGGCATGGATGTATGGTTTAAAAGACAGTTGAGGGTTGAACAAGACACCAAGATTCCACACTGACTTGGTGAGGTGGAGTGTGCATCGATGAATATTGATGCTGTCAATGCCTGGGGTGAGGAGGCGCTGACGGGAGTCGAGCAGGAAGGCCTCGGTCTTGTTGACATTCAACTGGAGGAAATCAGCTCTCATCCAGGATTTGATGTCTGACGGACAATCCGTCAGGACAGCAGTGGACCTGGAGTTGAGATTGGAGGCAGAGAGATAGAGTTTGGTGTGATCTGCCTACATGTGGAAGTTAACCTCGTACCTCCAGATGATATCACAGAACGGGAACATGTAAATATTAAAGAAGCAAGAAGCAGGAGTAAAAGAACATTAAAGTTTCTTTATATGCCTAATCTGTGCCTTCAGTTTCAGTGTGTTTCCTTATGCAAAGATCTAGGTTCATTAACCTCATCTTTTATTACAATTGCGAAAAAGTATAGCAGTTAAAATGGTTGTTCCAATGTAAACATCGAAATTGCAATACGACTGAATTGATTGACATCAACATCACCAAACAGAGACGATAAACATAACTTAAAAGGAAGTCTGATTATATTATCCATTTACTATAAGAGTTTGTTAATAACTGGACAAGACTCTCATAGTAAATGGGGGAGTGGGATTGATTTGGATATCTCTTTCAAAGAACCAGCAGAAGGCACGATGGGCCGAATGGCCTACTTCTGTGCTGTAGGATTTTATGATTCTAAGACTTGCTCAAGGCAAGACAGATCCAGGAAAATCCCACATCACCAAGACCTACTAACAAATTTTGTTCCATCAGACTGGTGTCTGACATTGTGATTTTGATTAAAACATGCCACAATTGTTTGTTTCTGGCCCAACTTCAAAAAACAAAAGTGTGAGACCTGATGAAACCCTGAGCTAGCAGGAGCTCATTGCAGGAGCTCAAGGTGCCATTAAAATTGGAAACTGTATGAATTGAATTGAGTCCTTTCAACCTCCCCGGGCATGTTACGGTAGTGACCCCCACACATACACCCATCACAATTAGTAAATTCAAAAACACCTAATTCCCAGAGCCAAGCAGGAACAAAATACAAGAGATACAGGGGGCTAAAGTCATACAATCAAAAAAAGAACATTTACATATTGGCATCAGCTAGCTGCTACAAATAATGGAAGAAATTATACATTCACTGTCTTCTTGTTTTTAAGCTGCGCAAAGCAGATCATCATTCCCAAAATCAATGTTAATCTACTATGCCTCCCAGTCACTAGGGCAGGGTTGCATGTCAAATGACTAACTGTGACTGTTGTCTTGGCTCCAAAGTGAAGTGCTTGGGAATGCAATGTTGTAATTGAGTCAATTACAACAAAATGGACGCTTTGTCCATTTCCATGTGTATGTGGCACATATATGCCACTCTGACTATTTTGGATAGTTCTCTGCATGTGACCACAAAAGTCACCAGGGCAGCCTTTCCAGTTGAGCTTTGCAAAATTGTTCTGAAACTGCTGTAGATTTGTGATATTAACAGAGTTAGGATATTAATTGCAATCGGGTGCATGGCAGAACAAATTCATCACTGATATCCTCTAATTATACGGGAAAATTGTTTGAATCACAACTGTAAAAAGATGTTCCCATCTCTGACAATACGGCACTCTCCTAGCACTGGCTTCAACCCATAACTGACTGTTAGATTATAGAAGTTGTAGTCTAATAATAATGAACATTAAACAAATGTAGAATGGAGAAAGTACTGACAGTCATGGGATAGGACACATCTGGTTTTCTCTGTTTTTGAAAGAATAGCAGGACAGCTTTGGAAAAGGGCAGGGGGTCACCTCTTATCAGTAAATGACAACAAGCCCACAGAAGTAACGGTCCAAGGTACCGGTCGACACAGGATCTCGACTTAGCAATAAGTCGCTAGATTCTGACAGGGCCTGCCAACCGACAGAAGGCAACCCTCAAGAATAGCAACTAATGGGCAAGTTGCTTAAACTAGAGGACCTTGGTACCATTCCGGGATACTGATAAGAAATAACCAGTCACTTAAAAGGAATGTACTAATGATCTCACATAACAAAATAACAAGCACCAGATACAGCCCTAAACTGATCCTATCTTAGACAGGAAAAAGGGAAGAACTCGTGGAGACTCAGTCAGGCTGGCACCAAGCCAAATGATTGATTAACCTGAGTACATGACTGTATCAGAAGTGGGTAGTGCTAATGAGTGATGAAAATTTAAATAAAACTGATCATTTGCTGTTAAACACCATATTGTGACATTTTTGCTATATGTATAGCAGTTTCACTATGGGCCATAAACCATGTTTCAAAACTTACAACTCACTCCAGTATTACTTTAAAATAAGTTTGGATTGATTTACCTGAATATTTTGAATCCTGGATTGTCATAGACGTAGAGATTCTTACACAAGTTTAGCTATTTTTGCAAATGATTGTGAAGGATTTCTGAGCATTCTGATTCTGCTGTCCAAGATCAACAAAAAACAGCATTTATGTAGCCCCCTCATGTAGGGTAACGTCCCAGATCACTTGGTGCAAATGATGATAGGTCACTACATAAACCAATTATGCTCTTGATGCACATGGTAAACACAGGTAAATAGTTTGTGCTTAAGCTCAGGTATAAATGTGTTAGAGTACCAAAATGAAATGAACATTGCAATTTTTGTGCATCTTTATGAATAGTGCAAAAAAACTGCCATGTGTACTTACAAGTGCTGTTGTCAGAAGGAAGCATCTCAGCCGGTTTGATACTTGGTGATGTGGTCTTTTCAGAATTTGTTCCTTCATTTGAGCTTTCGCTTTGTCCATTTCCTGAAATATTCACATTGCCACAGAATAATATAGCCAGAGAACCAAACAATTGCTCAAGTGAATCACTTGCATTTTCAATCCTTCTGTTGTTGAGCATGGTGTTCAAAACCTTGGGAGTCCGTAGTTTGGTGATCTGGAAAAGTACAAATACTGTTTATGAGAAGCCTGTTGCAATTAATCCCTTTCCTTCCTATACATTAATCCACTTTGTTGTAATACCTAATGAAAATATTGAGCATTGTGGAGTCCTGTAGCTCAGCAGTTAGAGCACTCGCCTCGCAAGCGAGAGACCTGGGTTCAATTCACAGCAGGGCAAAATATTGGGCAAGTTTCCTTACTCCACACGCCTCTAATAGTACCTAATTACCTAATTACCTAATAGTAAGTAGGAACCTGGTTGTTAGTCGGGGGTAATAATTCTTTCAAAAAAATAAGAAGAATAAAGTGGTCACTTCAATCCACGGGTGTTTGTGGGACACTGCTGTGCGTAATTGGCTGCTGCGTTTCGCCCACAAAATATACAGTCAATTCACTTTACAGTATATTTTGTAGGCACTTTGAGGCATCTCAAAGACGTAATAAGGTGGTATATAAAATGCAATGATTATTTTTATTCTTATTATCAAAAACACATTGCACATATCCATGAGCAGTCATAGACATTCTAGTTTTGTTTCTTTTATAGAATAGCCTAATTATTCAGAAATCAATTGTTACTCTCGGTTGCCTTACACTCAACATGCTGGAAACATCTGAAATAAAAAACAAATATGAACTATAATAATAATCCTTGCATTTGATATAGTGCCTTTTCATGTTGTTAAGATGTCTCAAAGCAATTTACAGACTATATTGTGTATATATTGTATATATTGTAAATATTGTACATATAAGTGGATTGACTGTATACTTGTGGGCAAACGCGGCAGCGTACAGCAGTGGCTTACAAACAGTCTGAGATCGAGTGACCTCATTTTTTTTTGGAGGGAATATTACTCCCTGAAAGTGACCCGCCAATCAACTAACAACCAGGTTCCTAGTTACTGCTAAGTAAACAGAGGTGTGTGGAGTAAGGAAACTTGCCTAAAGTTTTGCCCTGCCAGGACTTGAACCCGTGTCCTTTCACTTATGAGGCGAATGTGCTAACCATTACGCTACACGATTCCTATACTGGAGTACACTGATTTCAAATAAGGCCTTACTTTTTGAAAAACAAATAACCAGAGCAATGTTTCTGAAACACACAACATGAAGGATTTACACAAATATTGATTTGACTGTGTACCAACCAATGTGCTGGAAAAATATAATAATAATAATCCTTGCATTTTAAGCAGTGCCTTATCACGTCTTTGAGACGTCTCAAAAAACTTCACAAAATATACTGTAAGTGAATTGATTGTATATTTTGTGAGCGAAATGCAGCACCAATTGTGCACAGCAGTGTCCCACAAACAGTCCAGATTGAAGAGACCAATTTTATTTTAAGGAAATATTACTCCCGGAAAAGCAATCCACCAATCGACAAACAACCGTTTCCTACTTACTGCTAGGTAAACATAGCCATGTGGAATAAGGAAACTTAGCAAACATTTTGCCCTGCCGGGAATCAAACCCTGGTCTCTCGTGCGAGGCGAGTGCTCTAACCACTAAGCTACAGGACTCAACAGGTAGCTCAAGGCAGCCCCTGACAATGTTGTTTCAAAAGATTCCAAGACTCATGAAAGATATAAAATCACAACTTTAGTTAAACGATTTATAGCAAATTAGAGAAGCATAAGCATGTGCAGCCAGACAGGAAATGCAGCCTTAAAAATGCTGCAAAATTAGACATCAATATTATAATAATAATCCTTGCTTTTGGTACAGCACCTTTCATGTTGGGAGGACGCCTGAAAGCTTTTCACACGATTGACTGTGAAGTGTCGTAACTGTGTATTTCGCGGGTGAATGCAGCAGCTAATTGGCACGTAACAATATCCCAAAACAACTATGAAGTGAGAGAGAAGGGTTGAGACAGTGTTCCACTTTAGTGATAGTACCATCATCATTTTGATTATTTTGATTGGAGTCCTGTAGCTCAGTGGTTAGAGCACTCGCTTTGCAAGTGAGAGACCTGAGTTCAATTCCAGGCAGAGCGAAATCTTGGGCAAGTTTCCTTACTCCACACGCCTAATAATAATCCCTCCAAAACCAAAAACAATAATAAATTGGTCATTTTCAATCTACGACTGTTTGTGGGACATTGCTGTGCGCAATTGGCTGCCGCGTTCGCCCACAAATATACAGTCAATTCACTTTACAGTGTGTTCTGTGAAGCGCTTTGGGACGTCCTCCCAACGTGAAAAGCGCTATATCAAATGCAAGGATTATTATTATTATTATTATTATCTCCTTGGCACTTTTTTTTTCTAGCTTTACAAAAGCATCCATTGTGAGTAAATAGCCTCAATTGGAAAAGAGTTGGAACAGAGGAAAAGGAGCTTTGATTCACACCTGGCAACATTATTATCAGATTTTGGATCACTTAATACTCACACTAGTTGCCAAAGCATAAGATGTGCCTCAATTACTATTGCATCCACAATACAAGTTCTAAAATATATAAGGAAAGTGTATGCCGTGGGGTGCCCAAAAGTTTCATTTTACCCATGTTAATTAAATTGAAAGTACCTTTTCACACCACTAAATAGTAATAAGTCCATTAAAATACCTTCTTGGCACATTTTTGTATTAGTGTACAAATTAATTAATTTCACATGGCACGTTTTAAATGCAAATGACATTTCAATGATTGCATCAGTTAATAATAAATTAGCAAGGGAAGGTGGCGTCATGCAGCATGGCGTCACTTATAAATAATAATCCTTGCATTTGATACATCGCCTCATCACTTCTTTGAGACATCTCAAAGCGTTTCACAGAATATACTGTAACGTGAATTGACTGTATTTTGTGGGCGAAACGTGGCAGCCTATTGCAGTGTCCCACAAACAGTCATGGATTGAATGACCAAATTATTTTTTTTTTAAAAAGTTATTATAAATGTATGTATGCCAGTGGCAGCACCTGAGTAATAATAATAATAAACCTTGCATTTGATATATCGCCTTATCATGTCTTTGAGATGTCTCAAAGTGCTTCAAATACAACACAGTAATACAGTCTCTTTGCCTATTTCATAGACTTAATTTTGTGATTCAAACTGAAGGTATTATCCTCTGATAAGGGTCAAGAAAAGCCTTCAGTAACCATTTGCTTTATATCATAAAACTATCATAAACATTTACCGCGTAGTAAGCAATAAATAGTTTTTAGGAATTTAGGTTTAAAACCTTATCAATAAATAACCTGCATTTATAAACGTGTCCTTCACATCACAAGACAGGTTCACAAGATTGTTTCAGATACAGGAGGCCCTAGAGTCTATTTGATCTCATCTTTCCAGGATATCTACTCTACCATCCCAACATCAAGCTGTTTTAATGAATCCAGCATCCTGGATTCAACTATCCTTGATAGCGACATGTTGCTATTATTAGTTACCCTCTGGGTAAAGAAATACTTCCTGGTGTCTGTCTGAAATGCAATCCGGCGTGAAGGGCGCTATATAAATGTTAGTTGCTGTTGTTGAAATTGTTATTTGCAACTGTAAGCCTATGTGCTTTTGTTCTACTGTATCAGTGCAGTCAAAAGTATTGTTCTTTATGAATTCCATTTAAAAAAAATTGTATACTTCTATAAGGTTCCTTCTGAGACCTAACCATCCGGATTGAAGGCTTGACATTATATTACTTAAAAGAACCTCTGAGACGTTAAAAAAAATAGCTCCCCCCCCCCCCCCCCCCCGGGCTCACATCATGGTCCTGTTGGGTTGGCTGCCCCAGCCTATGGGATAATGTTTCCATCCACCTGACCACTCGCTCCCGGTCCCCGCATGCGCACTATGGCTGCCGCTATGACCCTCACCCCCTCCCTCCCTCCTCTCTACCCCCAAACCCTACCCCTTCTGCATCTCTCCCGCTCTGTCCTCCTCTCTCTCCGTCCCTCTCAACTTCTATCCGCACTTGACCCTCCCACAACCTCCCTCTGCTCCAGCCTGGGAATCCTCCGCCGGGCTCACCGTGGCACTCGGCGTTGGCTGTCCAGCAGCAGCCACACCGACTGCCCCATTCCCCACCACACTCGCCAGCCACCCCGGACACAGACCCGGGGAGCCAACCTCTCCTCCCTCATCCTCATTCCCCCACCCCTGCCTCACAACCTGGACCCACCTCCCCTCCCACACACCCTTCTGTCAACCGCTCCCTCCACATCGGACTACAAAACGTCCGCTCCCTCTGTAACAAGGCCCTGGTCATCAACGATCTCATCCTTGATGACAGTGTTGATATCATGGCCTTAACGGAAACCTGGCTCACCCCAGGTGACACCTTCCCCCTGACGGAGGCCACACCACCCGGCTACACCTCCCACCACATCCCTCGCCCCAACCGCCGTGGCGGTGGTGTAGCTCTTATCTCAAGGACACCACTTGCTCTATCCCCCTGGCAATTTCCCCTCTTTCGAGCACCTCACCCTCTCACCCTCCTCTCGCTCAAAATCCTCCTCCTCTACCGGCCCCCTAAAACCTTTCCCACCTTTATCTCCGATATTTCGACACTTCTTACATCTCTCTGCCTCTGCTCTGATCGCCTCATCATCCTGGGTGACTTCAACCTGCACTTCACCCCCTCCTGCTCAATCTCCTCAGATTTCTCTTCCCTGCTCTCCTCGCTCAACCTCTCCCTCCACATCAACTCCCCCACTCACAGTCACGGCCACCCACTCGACTTGGTGATCACCCGGGGCCTCAGTGTCTCGGATGTCACTATCACCGACAAGGCCGTCTCCGACCACCACTTCATCTCCTTCACCACCTCCACCCCCTCCCCACCTCCACCAGACCCACCACCATCTTCTACCGCCCCTGGAAGAAGTTACCCCCACAATCCCTAACCGCTACCTTGGAGTCCTCTGAACTCCTCTCCCTCTGGCCTTCAACCCTCACTGAACCCATTTCTCCTCTCACCCTCCTACACAACACCCTCTCCTCCACACTCGATACTCTTGCCCCCATCACCTCCCATACTGTCTCCTACTCTCGCTCCTCCCCTGGTTCACCACCCACCTCCACTCACTGAAGAGCCAGGTGCGGGCCGCTGAACGCACCTGCGTCAAATCTGGCCTAACGGTCCACCGACAAATCTGGCTGGACCTCCTCAAAATCTACCGCTCCACTCTAGCCTCAGCCAAGTCGTCCTTCTACTCCAGGATAATCCTGGAGGCGAAGAACAACCCCAGGCTACTGTTTTCTACCACATCCCGACTCTTCCGTCCCCCCTGCCACCCCGCGCAGGTCATCTCCTCCAACCTTCACTGCGAGGAGATACTTGATTTCCTTGAATCCAAAATCAAGGGAATTCGCTTTGCGGTCACTTCCCCTCCAACATCCACCCACCCCCCACCCCCTCCCTCCCACATTCCGACTCCTACCCATCCTCCCCTACACATTTTCGTACCCGTTTCCCCACCCTCTGTCACCAAACTCATCCTATCCCTGAAACCCACCACCTGCTCCCTTGACCCTATCCCCACTCCACTCCTTATCTCCCAGCTCCACCTCCTTGCCCCACATATCACAGACATCGTCAACCTGTCCCTCTCCTCTGGCTCCGTTCCCATTCCCTTAAAAACTGCCACCATCACTCTCACCTTGAAAAAAATCCTCCCTTGATGCGTCGCAGCTATCAAGCTACCGGCCCATCTCCAACCTCCCCTTCCTGTCCAAGGTCCTGGAACAAGTTGTCGCCTCCCAGCTGCGCTCTTTCCTCTCCACCCATTCATTATTCGAACCCCTTCAGTCGGGTTTCCGTGCTGCCCATAGCACAGAAACTGCCCTGGTCAAGGTCACCAACGACATCCTGACCATCTGTGACCAGGGCTCCCTCTGCCTCCTCGTCCTCCTCGACCTATCGGCAGCATTCGATACGGTCGACCATGCTATCCTCCTCCACCGCTTGTCCTCCCACCTCAACCTTCAAGGCCCTGTCCTCGAGTGGTTTAGGTCGTACCTCTCCCACCGTCTTCAGTTTGTTTCCACGTGCGATGTCCCTCAAGGCTCTGTCCTCAGTCCCCTCCTCTTCACCCTCTACATGCTCCCCCTTGGTGACATCATCCGCAGACATGGGGTTAACTTCCACATGTATGCGGATGACACCCAACTCTACCTTTCCTCCTCTACCCTCAACTCCACGACCACCGATGTCCTGACAGCTGTCTGTCCGACATCGAGTCCTGGACGAGAGACAACTTTCTTCAGCTCAACGTGCGCAAAACTGAGGCCCTCCTGATTGGCTCACGTCAGCGCCTCCGCACCTCAGGCGCTGACAGCATCAGCATCCAAGGCTGCACTCTGCACCTGTCAAAGCCATCAGGAACCTCGGTGTTCCGTTCGACCCTGAGCTGTCCTTTCTCCCTCATATCTGCGCCACAACTCCTGCTCGGGTCATGACCCAACTGTACAGCGCCTTGGGACGTCCTCCCGACGTGAAAGGCGCTCTATAAATGGAATCTTGTTGTTGTTGTTGTTGTTAACAAAAATAGTGGTGGATATCAAGGAGGAAAATTAAAAATACATTTTTAGAAGTTTTGTAGGCAAAAAGAATGTAGGCAAAGCGATTTTGGGGGAGAGTTTCAAGGACAAGAAAATGGTGGCTTCAGACACCAATGGGAGAGCAGAATAATATAATAATGATCCATGCATTTGATATAGTGCCTTGTCACATCTTCGAGACGTCTCAAAGCACTTCACAGAATATACTGTAAAGTGAATTGACTGTATATTTGTGGGCGAAATGCGGCAGCCAATTATGTACAGCAGTGTCCCACAAACAGTCGTGGATTGAAAATGACCAATTTATTATTGCTTTTTTTTGAGGGATTATTATCAGACTTGTGAAGTAAGGAAACTTGCCCAAGGTTTCACCATACCAGGAATCAAACCCAGGTATCTTGCTTGCAAAGCGAGTGCTCTAATCACTGAGCTACAGGACTCCACAAAAATGAGTGGGAAGGGAGCACTAGCACAGAGTCAGGTAAATGGATGGTTTGGAGAGGAGATGAGTGCAAAGTAAGATAAGGCAAGATCATGGAATAATTTGAAAACTGGGCCAATGATCTTAAACTAAATCCACTGATAAACTAGAAGCCAGCAGGGCAAAGATGTGAGAAATGGATATAAAGAGCCTTGTGCAAGAGAGAATGTGAGAGTTCTAGATTACTGAGCTGGGAAGACCAGTGAGAAAAGAATAATCATGTGTTCTGTGCAATAGAAATACAGTACTTTTTTTAAAAAAAAATGTCCTTTGCTCTTACATAATAAACCATCTTGTTCAGCTTTCACTACTGCACAATATCTCTAAAGGTTGTGTTCTTCAATGTTTAAAACATACTTTCTCGGGCTTACTATCATAGCTAATGTAAAATCAAGATTCCCCTGATTTTCTCTCCGCTTTTCTCCTCGCTTGAAGGCATTTTGACTCCTTTGTACCATTCTCAGAGGATATGGTTCCACAGATACCCTGGAAAACTTAACCTAAATGAATATCATTCAATTTCAGCTGAGGACAGTCTGTGTTGTCAGGCCAACCGATTATGGGAACCTCGGGCAATAAGCAACTTAAGACTTGTAAAGAAAAGTTCTTGAAATCCTTATTATTCTTTGATTTCAACTCAAGCCTTGAACTTCACTACTATGGCTTGACATTATATGATGATGCTTGAGCAATATCCGATCTGATTAGTCCAATATTGTGTTCATCCAATGCCCATACACATACACCTTCCAGGAAGGGGGGGTGGGGGGTTGGTTTGCATTTAGAAGCAGGAACTCTAGCTCAACAAGGGATAATGAGGGCTGCCTGAGCTGGGTAATAATATTAATAAACCTTGCATTTGATATACCATCTTATCACGTCTTTGAAACATCTCAAAGCGCTTCACAGAATATACTGTTAAGTGAATTGACTGTATGTTTTGTGGGTGAAACGCAGCAGCCAATTGCACACAGCAGTGTCCCACAAACAGGCATGGATTAAGTGACCAAATTATTATATATTTTACACATTTTATTTCTAGAGGGATTATTACCCGCATTATTATTACTAGTAGTAACCAGAAACATGTTGATCCGGCTTCGAAAGAAGTCATTGCAAAAATGTAACTAAGACATTTGATCCAGCTGGGATCACAATGCAATCACTGCAAGTAAGCCAGTGTTTGAATAAAGCACATTATTACAGGTCTCTACTGCTCTTTGGTCTCTTACTATATGGGTAAACCTAACTCATCATGGACAGTCTCAAATCTGTGACTTTCTAATCTACAAGGCCTCATAGGACAGTGTACTTACCCACAGCAACAAAAGGTTTCATAGAAGAATAGTAGTACTCTTTGGTGTCTCTGCATCAGCTGTGTTAATCCCCCACATGCTCATTTTAAAATCAGGTACATAAATCTAGGTAATTACAGTCTCTTTCTGCAGTTAATTTTCCACTGCATCCAATGTGATGAAGTGCATCATTACAGTAGCAATTACTATTTTCTCAATTCATGGTGTGTAAAATCAACCCATCTCCATTAGTTTTACAAGAATAATTCTATCCACCATAATCAGTCACTTCATTGCTCACAGTAGGATTGTATTGTGTTCAAATAAAACAACAACAACAAACAACAGCAAAATTACACTTGTAAAGCGCCTTTCATGTCAGGAGGACAAGGCATTGAAAAGTCGGGTATCAGGACCCGAGCGTAGGGTGCAGTGTTGGGATAACGGAGGGCAGAGAGATAGGAGGGTGGCTGAAGGCACGGTCAAAAAGGAAGGTCTTGAGCTGTGCCTTGAAGTAGGCAAGTGATGGATGAAGGCGAAGGGATTGTGAGATGGAGTTCCAAAGGGCAGGGTCAGAGAGGCTGAAAGCCCGGCTGCCAATGTTAGGGTGGGTCGGGCGGGTGACCTGGAGCAGGCTGGAGCCTGTTGAGTGGAGGGAGTGGACAGGTTGATAGGGGGTCAGCAGGTCAGAGAGGTAGGAGGGGCAAGGCCGTGGAGGGTCTTGAAAGTGAGGATGAGGATTTTGATTTCTATCCTCTGGGGGATGGGGAGCCAGTGGAGTCGGGCGAGGGTGGGGGTGATGGGGTCACAGGGCCTGGTGCAGGAAAGGACATGAGCTGCAGGGTTCTGGATGATCTGCAGCTTGTGGAGGGAAGAGTTTGGGAGGCCGAGAAACAGGGAGTTTTCGTAGTCGAGCCTTGAGGTGACGAACATGTGTATGAGCATTCGGCGGCCTGAGGGGTGAGGCAGTGGCGGAGTTGGACAATGTTGCGGAGGTGGGGAAAGGCAGGATATGGGGGAGAAAGGACAGTTGAGGGTCGAACAAGATGCCTAGGTTCCTGACTGGCTTGGTGAGGTGGAGCGTGCATCCGTAGAACTGAGGCATGTTGGGAGGGAGAGGCTTTTAAGGGCTAACAGAGAGTGTGTAGGCAGGGCAAGGAAGACAAAGGAGAAAATGGGTAGAGGACAGGGGATGATGGGTTAAAGAGGTGTTAATGATACAGAGATGTCTTCCTTGCCCAACCTCCACCTGCTCTGTTAGCCCTTAAAAGCCTCTCCCTCCCAACATGCCCCAGTTCTGATGAAGAGTCGTGGACCCGAAACGTTGATTCACTTTCCTTTCTCCATAGATGCTGCATGACCTGCTGTGTGTTCCCGGGGACTTCTGTTTTTGTTTCAGATTTTCAGCATCTGCAGTATTTTGTGTTTTGTTCCAGTCATACTTATAGTCACTATAAATTACAATGACTCATTCTACTTGGAACCTTTATAAACTACCAATATGTGGTGACCTTCAGGAGAACCTTGAGATTTTCTACACTGGATTTTAATAAGAGTTTCTCATTCTTAAAAATATATATAATGTAAAATTTTCTACTTCTAAAAAAAATCTTTGGCTGAACTTGATAAAACTTACTTTGTCCATTTGTTTTCTTGCTAACTTCATATTTGCGATTACAGCATCCGAAAGTGACAAGTTGTTCTTTAGAAATGCAGTCAATGCCTGGTTGTTTTCCCAAATATCTGCAAGTGGCAAGACAGAGTCATTCTAAACAACATTTAGCACTAACATCCTTCGGATTGAAAAGCATAAAATTGAAAAATATTTTTAAAATTATCCATGATTATTTTACTTTTTGGGGGGTCAGCCTGACACATGTAGAAACCCATTGCAATGCTTAAGAGTAGCCAAACCGAATTGAGAGTTCCATGCATCCCACCTACACATGGTAATTCCAAAGATATTTATTGGAATGGAGTATGCCCTCTCTCCCTGGAGGGATATATCCTGCTTACTTAATTCCAGAGACTATTAGGCACAAGTTGGCAATAGCCAAGGGTTGAGGACCTCAGAGTGTGCATTGGAGTATTACTGGAGTTCAAGCAGCTAAAACTGCAAAGCTTGCCATCGAAAGCCCTGTCTGGCAAGGCATTCCCGCAGCTTGTTCAGCTAGCAACAACCTACCCAATAGGGCTTTGCGAACAGAAGAGTAAGAAAAATATAAAGGGACAGATATAGGTATGAGGCCATGTAGAGGAGGATGGAGATCTTGAATTCGATCAGCTGGGAGTCAGTGAAGTCTGACAAGGACAGACATGGAGGGAATACAACATTTTGTGCAGGCAAGGGCGTGGTTTGGCAGAGTTTTGAATGCACTGGAGCTTGTAGAAAGTGAGGCTAGAGGACTTGGCGAAGATGTCATTTGGAAAATCAAGACAACAACAACTTGCATTTACATAGCACCCTTCACGCAGGGTAGTGTCCCGGAGTGTTTAAGTTGAAGAAGCAAGACTGGAGGTGACAAAGGTATGAATGAGGGGATTCAGCAGCACAAGTGAAAGAGGAACATTTGGAGTCGTTTTACCTTGTTCCTCCTTTAGATTATCAAGAATATTAATCCTTGGATTCAAATCCTTCAAGAATTTGTTTAACTGTTCTTGATCAGATGGATTTGCATCTATGTCCTGCAAATCAGCCAATACGGCGGACAACCTATGTTGACGAAGGCAAATAGACAAACCACAGTTTAATATGCAAACTACACATTTTTTTCTTTGCCACTGGTCTGGCAGGTTTCTGAATACACTAGTTTAAATATACAGCTTGGAGTCACACTAAGCTGACAGATCTGGAAAGAGATCAGAAAGTATGACTTCTGATCTGTGCTGTGTTAGCCAGTTTTAGCCACGGTTTTAGCCACGGTGACCTAGCATTACAATCGATCTTACTTTAGGTAGTGAGGGGAAATAATATTTGTTTTTTTTAAAAAAAGCCAGGATTAAACTTTTTTTAAAAAAATTATAAAATAAAATCCATCAATATACTCCACAAGCTAAAATAACTTCATACATCCAATGTGAATAAATTATCACCAAACCGTTTCATTGATAATTACATAATTATCTATAATTGCTGACATTCTGTGTATACGTAATGCACACTACATTGATGCTTTCACATAATTAGCACATGGTACAAATAAAACCCAAACTTTTTTGGGTGGGGGGTCAGCTGGGTATCTGACACACGCAGAAAGCCATCACCATGCTTAAGAGTATCCAAACCAAGCTGAGGTTTCCATGCATCCCACCTATACATGGAAATCCCAGACCCAAGAGTTTAAATTGAATCATGTTGAGAATTTCTTTAACCCCTTTTAGCAATCTCACAGAAAGTGTTGGAAAATTGCCTCAGACTATAGAATTTACAGCATTATCTCTTTAGAAAGAAAAACATGTTCGACTCTTCGAGAACATAAATATAGTGTGCGGCCCCATTATAACACGTTTATTATTATGCTGAGTTGCTTATAAAGCGATTGCATTGTATATCCCCTTCACTGCACATAGCCAACACACAAGCTTTCTATGCACCAGCTGACTCTCATGCTAAAATGGCCAACTTTCAGGTTATAAGTTTGTCATAGAACTTTACATCTGCGTCTGCTCAGCACACAGGAAGTGACAACAATATATGCATGAAAGGAGTCATTGCAGCTTCCCATGCACAAAAAATGGCTAACATTCGAACTATCAGGTTGCTATCAGGTCAATTCCTGTTTTGTGCATATATCAACAGGACGTTACATCACTGCCAATCTGGTGAAAGAGATTTTTAAAAAAATGTATTGGAACCAGCTGGCGTGTGAGAAAATCTAGCCAGCTGCCTGCTTGCACCACTGAAGCTGGATCAAAGTTGTATGAAAGCATGGGGGGATAATGGGATTTATTAAGGCTCTCAATCACCAATGGGGCTTCAATGTACAAGTATCGTTCACTCTTTGCTAATATAATGCAGAAAAAGGTTTGAAGTGTAATTGCATTATGAAATCTTCGCATGGATGCAACCAAAACCTGCACAGAGATATGATTAGAAATTCAACAGTACTGCAATAAACAAGTTAAACATTGGGCTGAAGCAATTAACATGTACTCACAGTGAGGTATCAAAGTTGTTTACTTGACCTGGTGCCTCTCCTGGGGTTGGGTAATTGAGACAAGGATTGTTCATGTTGCAGATGATACCCTGCATCCATGGCAATACACCAGCAGAAGGCAATGCCTTATTCCGATAATGACCTGCCACAGCAACAGAATAGTAAAAAGGTCTGCAACAATTCTCAGAATCCTGTACATCAGTTTACTATCTTTTCTAAAACTCATATGAGCTTCACAGCCCCAATCACAAATGTGATACTAATGACTTTTTAATAGACTCCCCCCCAAAAATGGGAAACTGCCAGAGGATGCCATCGTTTTCACTGTTTTGAATTAACACTTTTTTTAATTACCATCTGGTTTTCTCTCTTTATCCCACCACCCTCTCTTTTAGCTTGAAGGGCACTAATTCATGTTAACGCATAGTTCCATATGTGCCAAACACCCTCTGGTACATTGTGCAAGGGGACACTCTTCATGTATGAGCATAGCGGACAACAGGCTGGGAGACTTTCTGTGCACCAGCTAACTCTCATGAATACTTTGCTTCTGTTTTCACAGTAGAGGAAAAGGACAAAATACTAGCGGTAGAAGGGAACCTAAAAAAAGACAAAAAGTTCTAAATGGATAGGTGTAAATAAAATACGGTAATGGAGAAAATAATGGAATTAAAGATTGACAAAACTCCCAGACCTAATAGATTCCACCCTAGGGTATTAAAAGAAATGGGGGAGGAAACTGTAGATGTGTTAGTCATAAATTTCCAAAGCTCTCTGTATTCGGGAATTGTGTCCTTGGATGGAGAATTGCAAATATCATTCCATCATTTAAGAAGGGAGGGAGGGAGAAACCAGGTAACTAAAGACATCAGCTTAACTTCAGTTGTGGGGAAGTTAGTGGAATCTCTCATTAGGGACAGAGTGACTGAGCACTTGGATAAGTATGAGCTAATCAAAGAGGATCAGCATGAATTTGTGAGGGTAGGTCATATCTGATGAATCTAATCAAATTTTTTGAGGAGATCACTAACATGGTGGATAAGAATGTGTCTATGGATATCGTCTACATGGACTTCCAGAAGACATTTGATAAGGTTCCGCACAAGAGATTATTAGCAAAAATAAAAGCGCATGGATTCGGAGGTAACCTTGCAACGTGGCTTGGCAATTGGTTGGGAGGCAGGAAACAGAGAGTAGTGATGTAAGGAACTTTCTCTGATTGGCGGGATGTGACAAATAGTGTTCCCCAGGGGTCTGTACTGGGGCCTCAGCTTTTCACAATATATATATAATGTAATATATATAATATATATAACATATTATATATAAATATAAAGGAATATAAAGGGGAGCTTCAACTATATAAATGATGCTTCAACTGTATAAAGACTTGGTCAGAACCCATCTGGATTACTGCGTTCAATTTTGGGCACTGCACCTCAGGAAAAATATATTGGCTGTGGAGAGGGTGCAATGCAGATTCACCAGATTTATACCAGGTCTTAAAGGGTTAAATTGTGAGGACAAGTTGTGTAAACTTGGTCTCTATTCTCTTGAGGTCAGAAGGTTGAGGGGTGATCTGATTGAGGTCTTTGAAATAATAATAGGGTAGCTACAAAGAAACTATTTCTTCTGGTGGAGAATCCAGAACAAGGGGGCATAATGTTCAAAATTATAACTAATAATCCTTGCAGTTGATTATAGCGCCTTATCAGGTCGCTTCACAGAATATACTGTAAACTGTAGTGACTGTATACGTTTTGGGCAAACGCCAATTATTCAAGGCAACGTCCCACAAACAGTCGTGGATTAAGTGACCATATTATTATTATTTTGAAGGGATTATTACCACCAGAAAGCAATCCACCAACTAACAAGCAGGTTCCTACTTATTGCTAGGTAAACAGAGGCATGTGCGTGGAGTAAGGAAAATTGCCTAAGGTTTCGACCTGCCCGGGAATCAAACCCAGGTCCTCTCGCTTCCGAGTGCTCTACCACTATGCTACCAGACTATTGATTACTGGGCGGGGTGGCGGAGGAGGGAAATAGATGTGAAGATAAATGCAAAGATGAGAAAGAGGATCTTGAACTCGATTTGTTGGGGTAAGGCTGAGACAAAAAGAATCATATTGCTTCCTGTTCCTCAGTCGCCTACTAAAACGGATATGTGTGCTCGTTTGCAGCTGAGAGATAACTAGCTCACACCTCAACCACACATACACGCTTCCCCAAAGCGTCACACCTCACTTCTTGGAACTTATTTGAGGTTTGAAAATATTATTTTCAGATCTGACCTCCAACACCAAGAGAAAGCTCAGTAGTGGCGGCGGGGTGTGGGGGGAGGAGGAGAGAGTGAGAAATATTTCAGAAGCAGTCAGTGAACTAGACATTGTTTAAGCCACTCACTCGGTGAGATTTTCATAGTCAATGACTGACATATTCCAAGAACTTACTCAGCATTGAACAGTATCCAATTTAAATGCACCCCCTCACACCGTAGCGATTGAGTTTTGTGGCAACTAACCTACCCTCCGAGCACTCACATGTTTTGATCACACTTTACGATGTCCTAACATCTCAGAGTATTAATTATACTAATAATCCTTGCATTATCATGTTGTTGAGAAGTTTCAAAGCACTTCACAGAATATACTGTAAAGTGTAGTGACTGTATATTTGTGGGCGAAATCCAGCAGTCAATTGTGCACAGCAACATTCCACAAACAGTCGTGGATTGAGTGACCATATTATTATTGTTTTGAAGGTATTAATACTCCCAGAATTCGATCCACCAATCAGCTAACAAGCAGGTTCCAACTTATTGCTAGGTAACAAGAAGCGTGTGTGTAGAGTAAGGAAAGTAAGGGGCATAATCCTAAAATTAGAGCTAGGCCATTCAGAAGTGAAATCAGGAAGCAGTTTTCCACCCAACGAGTAGTGGAAATCTGGAACTCTCTCCCCCATAAGCTGTGGATGTTGGATCCATTCACATTTTCATGATTGAGGTGGATAGCTGTTTCATATGTCAGGGTATTAAGGGATACAGGACAAGGGTGGGTACTTGAACTTGAGGTACAGATTAGCCATGATCTTATAGAATGGCAGAACAGGCTCGAGGGCCTACTCTTGTTTCTATGTTTGTATAGATAATGACATTTGAAGGGCTATTTTGCTGTAGGGAATGAGGAACAAAATTACATTGTAGCCTAATGTCCTCAAAATGGGTCCATATTTCAGCAGAACTATTATATATTCAATTTTATTCCACGTCTTATTTATGGCAGACAATATAATTTGGAATTTGGAATCTAACACATTCACAGAGATCTAACAAAGAGCTGTTTGACACTAAATATCAACTTTGCAATAATGTTAGAAATTATTCAAAAAAATCCACCCAACAGTCAATTTAGTTTGATCATGTAAGTAAATGTAAATTAGAATAATTAGTATATAAGTAGCATTATATATGTATCCTGTAAACTTCACGATCAATGAACTTGTGTTTCTATTGTGTTTCTATCTCTGGACAATATCTATTTTTTAATCAATCTAACCTCTATTAATCTTAAGATTTACTCTGCATTAAGCCATGCATCATAGCAAATCTATTAAGTTAAAAATATAAAATTGTGTTTTTTGGCTGTTTGTGTAATGAAATTTGCAAGAAATTATTTCAGGGAACAAGTTTAAGTTATTGTCACAAACCCTATTTGCGTGAGATGTAAGGAGTCTTTTGGAAGAGATTGCTGCTTTTTTTGTCTGTAAATTAGCATTTATTTCCAAAATGAAGAAAATTGTCCAATTGTTCCTTCAATCCTTTTGCCAAGTATAATCTGTTTTGTCCATCTGGACTTTCTCTGTCCGAAAGAGATTATTTTGATATTTAAATATGTACAATAACTCTGCAGTTAGCCAAAATAATCCTTACATTTGGAAAAGCGTCTTTCACATTGGGAGGATGTCTCAAAGTGCTTCACAATATATACTTTAATGTGCGTTTTGTGTGTCATAGGCATGAAAAAAAAACTTGCTGTTATAAATGGAAAGAATAAGAGAAATAGTGCTTTTTAGGGATCTAAGTTTCTGTGAAATCAATTGTGGGAGTCTGAATTTTTTGTTTGATGGAGGGCTAGTGCGCGTAATTTAGCAGTGGTGTGTGTGCTCAAATGTTTAAGTGACCGAGGATTTTTAAGTGACTGCGTTACAAGCCGAGGTCTGCGATAAATCAGATCAAGTCATCTTTGCACAATAGAATGAAGTTTCATCAGATTCAGCAGCAGATACAACAACAATTTGCATTTATATAGCGCCCTTCATGTGGGGAGGCATCCCAGAGCGCTTGACAGTGGCGGAATCTGACCTTAAGCTTGGAGGACAGGGAGGGGGGAGATGACCATAAGCACGATCAAAAAAGTCCTATAGATCCAATCTATGTTTGCCTTTCTAAGCAGGTACCATGGAATCCAAGCTTAGTTTACAGTCACAATGTACCTTGAGTGACCAAATAGAACAAAACATTTAAGATGGATTCAGACTGATAACACCATGCTGAGAAATTTCCAATTACAGAAATATGCACGTTTAACTTCTCCTTCTCCTCATTATATTCCTTCTTCACCATTGGCCAACAAATGCAAGTTGTTGTTGTTGTCGTTGTAGAAACATTTAATTGTGCACTTCTATTTCTTCCTACTCCTGCAATTTGTTGTTGCATGCAAGAAATCCAAATCAAAGATGTAGATTAAACAACATGCCATTTATGACAGTGAATGACTTTGAGAATAAATGTCATCATTGTTGCTCTACATTTTATTCAAGAAGGAGTTTACAGCTTGAAGAAAGGTTGGCAGCGGAGGTGAATTTAATTCATTAAAAAATATCAAAATCATGTTGACATGGCCATTAAATCACTGGAGAAAAAGTCAGTAATAATCCAGAGATTATTAAACGTTTAAAAACGTTTATGGTAATCCACAAAATCCACTAGTTTGTGTCAGCATCTGCTGTTGAATATTTCTGGGGAAATTATGGGGGAAACTGTCATTCAATGTGGTTGTGTTGTAATTAATGTAATTGGGTCTTTGCATTAAGGTGCCACAATGCCAAGCCATTGCAGATTCTTACACTGATTTTTGATATTTTGGCCACGGGAGATTATCCAATGGAAATTAAATTCCTGACCTTCAAGTATATGTGAATCTTGATAATGTTTATTGAGAGTTGAATTTTTTTTAATGCTGTCCTGATGTGAAATTACAGAACTACCCCTGGAGGCCAGCACTTTAATTGGAATTTAAATCGTGCTCATTATTTTCATGATGTAACAGTACGCTGGGGAGGCATTTAAAATCATGTTATTCCTTCTTCATTTGCAGCGTGACATTGGGATCTATTGTACGAGTTCTGTAAACCATGTACAAAGGGAACTACAGGTACACTAAATTTGTAATTAATAATAATAATCCTTGTATTTCATGTCTTCTAGACATCTCAAAGCGCTTCACAGAATATACTGTAAAGTGAATTGACTGTATTTTTCTGGGCGAATCGTGGCAGCCAACTATAGCAGTGTCCCACAAACAGTCGTGACCAAATTGAGTGATCAAGTTATTATTTTTTGTTGTTGAGGGATTATTATCCCCGGAAATGCGATCTGCCAATCGACTAACAACTGTGTTCCTACTTAGTGCTAAGTAAACAGAGGAGTGTGGAATAAGGAAACTTGCACAATATTTCGTCCTGCCAGGAATAGAACCCAGGTCTCTCGCTTGTGAGTTAAGTGTTCTAACCACTGTGCTACAGGAAAGTTAACAAATGAAAAGGAAAAGCTACAGCAATCTCAACAACATTTTGCACTTCTAAAGTACCTTTCACAAAGAATCATTGTCCTCCAATCCCTTAACAGATATAATGGAGATCAGCAAGCAGGAAAAGGGGGAATTAAGAATGTTAACTGAAGGCATGGTTTGCAAGGTGTGAGATTTGAAAGAATTTCAGAGAAGTCAACTGAAGGCCAGTTACTTTTATTTACCAAAGCATATAGTGCACAATATGTAGAGTTGCTGACCATAATTTATTAATGTTCAGCTTGACTTAATTACAGCTTTGCAATTCAATTCCCAATACAAAAAGACAACAATAATCTAGCGTTTTAAATATCATTCTCAACACCAGCAAATTGGCATCATCTTCTACTTGGTCAAAAGGCTGTGGGTTCTAGCAATGTGCTCAAAAGGCTGATACTCCAGTATAGCACAGATTCATCAGAATGATTTCAGGCCTTAAAGAGTTAAGTTGTGAGGACAGATTGCGTAAACTTGGTTTCGATTCCCTTGAGTTTAGAAGGTTGAGGGGTGATCTGATTGAGGTTTTTAAAATAAGAAAAGGGATTCAATAGAGTAGATACAGAAAAACTATTTTCACTGGTAGGGGAATCCAGAACAAGGGGGTGTAATCTTAAAATTAGAGCTAAACCATTTAGGAGTGAAATTAGGAGGCAGTTTTTAACTCAAAGGGTTGTGGAAATCTGGAATTCTCGCCTCCAAAAGGCTGTGGATGTTGGATCCATTCACATCTTCAAGACTGAGGTGGATAGATACTTGTTAGGTCAGGGTATAAAGGGATACAGGGCAAGGGTGCGTAATGGGACTTGAAATACAGATCAACCATGATCTTATAGAATGGTGGAACAGGCTCAAGGGGTTGAATGGCCTACTCCTGTTTCTATGTTCTATGTTTCTGCAGCACTGGAAGAATGCTGGAGGTGTCACCTTTTGGACAAGTTGTGAAATAATAACACATAATAATAATTCTCATATTTAATAAATCCTTCATATAGGATTTACACTGTGAAGTGTTAGACTAAGTATTGATCAGTGAAATCGGCAGCCAATTTGCACACAGAAATATCCTACGTACATCAATGAATGAAGTAAATGATCAATTATATCTGATGTATTGTTGTCCAGGATACCAGGAGAAACTCGCTTAACTTTTTGAATTGTGTCATGTGATCTCTAAAAATACAGCACAGCATTGCACTGAAGTGTCAGACAAGACTGAGCTCAAAATCCAAAAGTAGAACTTAAATGCATTACCTTCTGATCAAGGGGCAAGAGTGCTTCCAACTGAGATAAGCTTATACTTGTATATTTCTCCAATTTAACATGTAGGCCTTTCAGTGATGTCTACCTTTTACAGTTTTGTTTTGGGATATACTCACATTGTCCTTTATTTATTGGTAGACTAGTTGACCGAACCCAAACCAGAATGAAGAAAAGGAACAGTGGCCAAAGAAATTCAATTATCAGGCGAATCTTGAAACAAAAATAATAAAATGTATTATAAAATTATAAAATAAAATGACAGATAACTAATATAATTTCTATTCTATTTAGTGGATTATGCTGACATCTTGATAAGGAAAAGAAGCTGGCACCGTAGGATTCATCAACATTACATAATCAACTATGTGAAACATTTTCTTTTTAATTAGAACAACAACAAATTGCATTTGTATAGCACCTTTCACATCGGGATGACATCCCAAGGCGCTGGATCACATTCACCTCTCACAAATTTGCAATATTTTAATCATAAAATGTCATTACTTTACAATTTTCTTCCCTCCTCTGCTGAAGGCATCTGTTTTATTTTCTTGGACTAAAAATCCAATTTCTCACCCAAGTAGAGGCAGGTGGTCAAGAGATCACAGGTTCAGGGTTGCGAAGGGCATAGTTAGGATAGATTTCAGGAAGTATAGCTTGCATGAATTGTAAATGAATAGCTGGACCAGTTTATCTAAAAGGTTAATGATGCCAAGATACTGCATTAATTTACGGAACAACTTGATGATGGGAATATAATGGTGATGGGAATATAAGGGTGATGTTTATTGATATTTTGGAAAGCGGAGATCAGCTGAATTTCTCTTACAGTGACCCATCAACAAAATGAGGATCTTCCTGATCTTTATGGCATAGATATTCAATGGGCTTTTAGGAATAAAAGTGTTTCACGTGATTTAGCATATGCCTTATATGCATAATTGTCAGATTCAAATCTGTCTGAGTGACATCTATGGAAATAAATTTAAAGGCAGCTGAATTTTGGCTAATTTTGATAGTGGCATTGCGTTTTTAGCCCCATACTCAACTATTAGCTATCAGTTCTCAAGTATTAGCTATCTCCCTTTTAACATCGCCATGGATTTCACTTTTTCACTACTGCCATTTTGGATTGGCGCATTCTCCACTCACACAAGCCTCTGTGAAGTCACATCTCCTGATCTGCTTAGGTGTAATTAGATTCCTCTATCAGAGGAAGAATCATCTACTACCAAGCTTTTTCTTTTACTTTTTTATACAAGCAGCTCAAGGAGATCATCTCTTAACCTCAGCTCTTAGAAATATAACCTATAAAGCTCTCATCATAGCTAAGCACCTAAATCCTAGGTATTGACCAAGCGAATCATTGCTAAGCACTCCCCAAGGCTAGGATGTGCTGTCTAAGATTGAGTGGCTAAAGTAAATAATTCTCCATAGGAATACTTACAAACATTCTCTATAATTGCAGTAGTGCTCACTCACTTTCATTTTTTTTGCACATAAAAGAAATTCATGCAAAGTTAAAAAGAGGTAAAGGAAGCTTTTACGTTGTTGCTATGAATTTTCAGAAAATTATAGCTGCTTTGAAAATGCACATCATACTTAGGTGTTACTTAGGGCTCTGTCTTTGGTCCCTTCCTCTTCAATATCTATATGCTCCCTCTTGGTGACATCATCCCCAGACATGGGGTCCACATGTATGCGGATGACACCCAACTCTACCTCTCTGCCTCCACCCTTGATTCCAGGACCACTACTGTCTGTCAGACACCAAGTCCTGGATGAGAGCTAACTTTCTTCAGTTGAACGTCAACAAGAGTAAAGCCCTCCTGATTGGCTCCCGTCAGCGCCTCCTCACCTCAGGCGCTGACAGCATCACCATCCATGGTTGCACACTCCACCTTGCTAAGCCAGTCTGGAACCTTGGGGTCTTCTTTTGACCCTCAACTATCTTTTCTACCCCACATCTGCGCCATGACCCGCTCTGCTTTCCCCATCTCCGCCACTGTCTCACACCACAGGCCGCCGAAACCCTCATATATACTTTCATTACATTGAGACTTGATTCTGCAAACTCACTGCTTGTCAGCCTACCCAACTCCTCCCTCCATAGGCTGCAGATTATCCAGAACTCTGCAACCCACGTCCTCTTCCGCACCAGGCTCCGAACCCTATCACCTCCATCCTCGCCCAACTCCACTGGCTTCCCATCACACAGAAGATACAGTTCAAGATCCTGGTCCTCACCTTCAAAGCCCTCCATGGTCTTGCTCCCCCATACCTCTGTGACTTCCTAAACCCCTACCATCTTTTTCGCTCCCTCTGCTCAGCGGGCTCCAGCCTGCTTTACGTCCCCCGCTTCGATCGCCCCACCATTGGTGGGCGGGCCTTCTGCCACTCTGACCCCACCCTCTGGAACTCCATCCCGCAATCCCTCCACCTCACCGCCTCCCTTGCCACCTTCAAGACCTATCTCAAGACCATCCTCTTCGACCATGCTTTCGATCTCACTGTTTCCCCACCTGCCCTCCACCCTGACCACCGGATTGGGTCCATAACTCTGTCTGTCCAGCCCTTTGGGACGTCCGCCTGACATAAGATGCGCTATACAAATGTAATTTGGTTGTTGTTACCTTCTGTCTCTTTCGAAGGATGACATTTTTCCACAGTAGAAGTCGAAGCTGTACCAGAAGACCCATAATTGTCCACCAGAGGTTCGCTTCAAAAATCCAATCCTGGGGAAGGATTGTTATGAAAGGGAGTCTTTAATAAATCCTGGAGAAGGAATAGAACATGAATTCACTATACAGTTTTGACTAGCTTCTTATGTGAGATTAAAAAAGAAAGATGTTGACGAAAGACAATTTCAAAGGCCATAACATAGGAGAGCAAAATTAGATTAGAATGAAATCCCTCTAATTTTTAAGAATTAAATCTCCATGTACAACAAAATAATGACAACATTACATTTGTGTAGCCTTTCGGGTCAGGAGGACGTCCCAAGGCACTGATGATATATAAATAGTATATCCACAGGGGAAAATATCTCAAGATACTGCTAAACGATAATATTTACATCCTGAACAACAGAATGATCATTTCCTAATTCACTGAGGTTATATATGGATCTGGGCTGTTCAAAGCAGAAAGCACTGAAGTGACAAGAGACAAATGTATTGATAATAAAACAGTGTAATAATTCCAAGATAAAATAAATAGAAGGGATAAGATAGGAGGTAAGTGGAGATTGAACGTCACTCAAAGAATGAGAAAATCCAAACCAAAATAAATTTATTTAGGGTCTACAAACTTCGTGCCAATTAGTTCCCATGTCAAAATATGGTACATACATTAGGCAAGAAAAGAGATCAAAGAAATGTTAGATACTAACTGAATTGTGGATTATTTTATAAAACAAGTAGTGAAGTTGAAACAGTGTTGAAGAATTCATAGAATAAGAAAAAGAGAGAACCGAGAAAATCAGCAACAACTGTGAAGACATTGGACTTGACTTTTAATTTAAGACGTTTATTGATTCTCGTTTATTTGAATGAAATTTAAGTCAAAAGTTCATTGTCTGAAGAATTTTATTGCAATTTTGCAAAAATCCAAACTGGAAATGTCTTATTGATTAGTGTAAAGAGTACTCAAGTCTCTGTGGTGCACGGCAGTGCCTGAAATGCAGATTAATTTTGATTGTGTAGCTTTAAGAGTCGTTGCTGCTCAAACGGCCATCACACATTTAGCTGTCAGTCAGCACAGAAATTATGGTAAAATACACTGCTCTGTTGAGTGTACAATGCCAACAGCACTGCTGTTGATACCCAACTTCAGGCTACTTACCGAGATCTGAGTAAGCGTTGAATAAAGCATTGTGAAATGATGTAAGAGAACCCCTGGAGCGACACTGATTAAGTACACCTTAATGGTGAAAGGAAACAGACTGATGCACAGGGAAATAGGGAGAAAAATAATCTCACTGTTTTGATTGAAGTTAGTTGAGCGAAATCCATCCGGGAAGGTCACCGGGGTCTTCTGCAGTGATTTCTAACACTTGATAAGGATTCAGGTCAGAAAGGACGATTCCCTTCCGATGACTAAAACCTCAGGAACTCCCCGCCCTCACACAACCCCCTGACAGAGCAGCGAGTCAGGGAGCAGAGGTCGGAATCATTTACCATTTATAATTTGTACTAACAATTGCCACATTTTAGATCCCATTCCAAAAACAAATCAAAATAATAATTGAGTGCACGCGTGCAGGTGATGTGCCCAGAAAGCACTCCGATGCGGACCTGTATGTGTGGGTGTGTGTGTGTGTGTGTGGAGGTGAGTGGGTGTATGTGTGGAGGTGGGTGGGTGTATGTGTGGAGGTGGGTAGATGGGCGTGTGTCTGTGTGTGTGGAGGTAGGTAGGTGTGTGTGTGTGGAGGTAGGTAGGTGGGTGGGTGGGTGAGCGTGTGTGTGTGTGGATGTAGGTGGGTGGGTGTGTGTGTGGAGGTGAGTGGGTGTATGTGTGGAGGTGAGTGGGTGTATGTGTGGAGGTGGGTGGGTGTGTGTGTGTGGAGGTAGGTGGGTGTGTGTGTGTGGAGGTAGGTGGGTAGGTGTGTGTGTGGAGGTAGGTGTGTGTGTGTGTGTGTGGAGGTAGGTGTGTGTGTGGAGGTAGGTGTGTGTGTGGAGGTAGGTGGGTATGTGTGTGTGTGTGGAGGTAGGTGGGTGGGTGTGTGTGTGGAGGTAGGTGGGTGGGTGTGTGTGTGGAGGTAGGTAGGTAGGTAGGTGGGTGTGTCCGTGTGTGGAGGTACGTAGGTGGGTGGGTTGGTGAGCGTGTGTGTGTGTGTGGATGTAGGTGTGTGTGTGTGGAGGTAGGTGTGTGTGTGTGGAGGTAGGTGTGTGTGTGTGGAGGTAGGTGTGTGTGTGTGGAGGTAGGTAGGTGTGTGTGTGTGTGTGGAGGTAGGTGGGTGTGTGTGTGTGTGGAGGTAGGTGGGTGGGTGGGTGGGTGAGCGTGTCTGTGTGGATGTAGGTGGGTGTGTGTGTGGAGGTGAGTGGGTGGGTGTGTGTGTGGAGGTGGGTGGGTGTGGAGGTGGGTAGATGGGCGTGTGTCTGTGTGTGTGTGTGGAGGTAGGTGGGTGTGGGTGTGTGGAGGTAGATGGGTGGGTGTGTGTGGAGGAAGGTCTGTGTGTGTGGAGGTAGGTGTGTGTGTGTGTGGAGGTAGGTGTGTGTGTGTGGAGGTAGGTGTGTGTGTGGAGGTAGGTGGTTGGGTGTGTGTGGAGGTAGGTGGATGGGTGTGTGTGGAGGTAGGTGTGTGTGTGGAGGTAGGTGGGTGGGTATATGTGTATGGAGGTAGGTGGGTGGGCGTGTGTGAAGTTAGGTGGCCGGGCGTGTGTGTGTCGAGCTCGGTGGGTGGGCATGTGTGTGTGGAGGTAGGTGGGTGGGCGTGTGTGTGTGTGGAGGTAGGTGTGTGAGTGAATGTGTGTGTGTGATTGGAGGTGCGTGGGTGAGTGTGCGTTTGGAGGTGCGTGGGTGAGTGGGTGTGTTGAGGTAGATGGTTGGGTGTGTGTGTGGAGGTAGGTGTGTGTGTGTGGGTGGAGGTGGTTGGGTGGGTATATGTGTATGGAGGTAGGTGGGTGGGTGTGTGTGGAGGTGAGTGTGTGTGTATGGAGGTAGGTGGGTGTGTGTGTGTGGAGGTAGATGTGTGTGTGGAGGTAGGTGGGTATGTGTGTGTGTGTGGAGGTAGGTGGGTGGGTGTGTGTGTGGAGGTAGGTGGGTGGGTGTGTGTGGAGGTAGGTAGGTAGGTGGGTGTGTGTGTGTGTGGAGGTACGTAGGTGGGTGGGTTGGTGAGCGTGTGTGTGTGTGTGTGTGGATGTAGGTGTGTGGGTGTGTGTGTGTGGAGGTGAGTGGGTGTATGTGTGGAGGTGAGTGGGTGTGTGTGTGTGTGGAGGTGGGTGGGTGTGGGTGTGTGGAGGTAGGTCTGTGTGTGTGGAGGTAGGTCTGTGTGTGTGGAGGTAGGTGTGTGTGTGTGGAGGTAGGTGTGTGTGTGTGGAGGTAGGTAGGTATGTGTGTGTGTGTGGAGGTAGGTGGGTGGGTGTGTGTGTGTGTGGAGGTAGGTGTGTGTGTGTGGAGGTAGGTAGGTATGTGTGTGTGTGTGTGGAGGTAGGTGGGTGTGTGTGTGTGTGGAGGTAGGTGGGTGGGTGGGTTGGTGAGCTTGTGTGTGTGTGGATGTAGGTGTGTGGGTGTGTGTGGAGGTGAGTGGGTGGGTGTGTGTGTGGAGGTGGGTGGGTGTGGAGGTGGGTAGATGGGCGTGTGTCTGTGTGTGTGTGTGGAGGTAGGTGGGTGTGGGTGTGTGGAGGTAGATGGGTGGGTGTGTGTGGAGGAAGGTCTGTGTGTGGAGGTAGGTGTGTGTGTGTGTGGAGGTAGGTGTGTGTGTGTGGAGGTAGGCGTGTGTGTGGAGGTAGGTGGGTGGGTGTGTGTGGAGGTAGGCGTGTGTGTGGAGGTAGGTGGGTGGGTGTGTGTGGAGGTAGGTGGGTGTGTGGAGGTAGGTGGGTGTGTATATATGTATGGAGGTAGGTGGGTGGGCGTGTGTGAAGTTAGGTGGCCGGGCGTGTGTGTGTCGAGCTCGGTGGGTGGGCATGTGTGTGTGGAGGTAGGTGGGTGGGCGTGTGTGTGTGTGGAGGTAGGTGTGTGAGTGAATGTGTGTGTGTGATTGGAGGTGCGTGGGTGAGTGGGTGTGTTGAGGTAGATGGTTTGGGTGTGTGGGTGTGTGTGTGTGGGTGGTTGGGTGGGTATATGTGTATGGAGGTGGGTGGGTGGGTGTGTGGAGGTGGGTGAGTGGGTGTGTTGAGGTAGATGGGTGGGTGTGTGTGGAGGAAGGTCTGTGTGTGTGGAGGTAGGTGTGTGTGTGTGTGGAGGTAGGCGTGTGTGTGGAGGTAGGTGGGTGGGTGTGTGTGGAGGTAGGTGGGTGTGTGGAGGTAGGTGGGTGGGTATATGTGTATGGAGGTAGGTGGGTGGGCGTGTGTGAAGTTAGGTGGCCGGGCGTGTGTGTGTCGAGCTCGGTGGGTGGGCATGTGTTTGTGGAGGTAGGTGGGTGGGCGTGTGTGTGTGTGTGGAGGTAGGTGTGTGAGTGAATGTGTGTGTGTGATTGGAGGTGCGTGGGTGAGTGGGTGTGTTGAGGTAGATGGTTTGGGTGTGTGGGTGTGTGTGTGTGGGTGGTTGGGTGGGTATATGTGTATGGAGGTGGGTGGGTGGGTGTGTGGAGGTGGGTGAGTGGGTGTGTTGAGGTAGATGGTTGGGTGGGTGTGTGTGTGTGGAGGTAGGTGGGTGGGTCTGTGTGTGTGGAGTTTGCAGTTGGGTGGGTGAGTGGAGTTTGGTGGGTGGGTGTGGAGGTAGGTGGGTGTGGAGTAGGTGAGTGAGTGTGTGTGTAGGTGTGTACGTGTGGAGGTAGGTCGGTGGGTGTGTGTGTGTGGAGGTAGGTAGGTGGGCGTGTGTGTGGAGGTAGGTGGGTGGGTGTGTGTGGAAGTAGGTGGGTGTGTGTGTGTGTGTGTGGAGGTAGGTGGGTGTGTGTGTGTGGAGGTAGCTGGATGGCCGTGTGTGTGTGTGGAGGTAAGTGGGTGGATAGGTGTGTGTGTGTGGAGGTAGGTGGGTGGCTGTGTGGAGGTAGATGAGTGAGTGTGTGTGTGAAGGTAGGTTGGTGTGTGTGTTTGGAGGACTGTGGAGTCCTGTAGCTCATTGGTTAGAGCACTCGCTTTGCAAGTGAGAGACCTGAGTTCAATTCCAGGCAGG